CGAAAGCAAAAGCACCAACACACCAGCTGAAAGCCTGTCACCTGCCCGAGCCTTGCAGCGGGAAAGAGAAAGGAACTGCAGACTATTATTGCTTAGCAAAAGAGTCAGCCGGTACCTACGGGCACAGCAAACAACATTGGGCCCGTCACATCCATCTCTCTCGGCACCACCTCATCAAACCCGCCGGACCAATACCGCCTCGCCTTGCCCACGCCAAAACCGCCCGCCGATCGAATCGGCCCCTCGTCCGCCCTCCTTCGCCGGACTCCTGAACCTGGTCTGGCCCTGAGGTCTGAGGTCTGAGGTGCTCCTCCGCTCTCCATCCCTCCCTGACGAATCCCGTCCACCCCCGTCTCCGTCGACCCTCCTTACCTCCCTCCAGACAGAGGTCCTCCAGGCCCCCCATTCCATTCAAAGACATGCAGCGATCCGGCGCAACACCTGCAACTGCAAATGCACCCTTCTTCTCGACTTCCTTCTTCTCCTCGTCCTCCTCAAAGTCCCGTCCAGGCACATCATCAGGTGACCAGCAGCCACCGCAGCAGTCGCAGTCGCAACCCCCTCCTCAGCCCTCGCCCTTCTCCCCGCCGCCGCTACAATATCCCGCCGGTCCCAACGTCCTGACCAAGGATCGCAAGAGCTCCTTCGGCCGCAAGCCTTCCTTTAGCTCTCCCTCCAAGTCCTCCAAGCGACGTGCGAATAGCTCCAGCTCCGGTGGAGGAGGCAATGTCGTAGTCACCGACCGAAACGTACCCCCCGCCCTTCCCGACTTTGCCCTCGCCGCCGCTGCGAAGATCACCCGCGACGCCGACAACATACAAAGCCCCGCCTCCGCCGACAGCTTCTCCAAGATGCTCAGCCGCACACATACCGGCTCAGCGAGCCTCGCCCCCGACCGTCTGCAGCCCCCGCCGGCTTCTGCGACACATCCCAACATGTGGCAGTCGAGCGAGTCTGTCGTGCTGCATATGCAGATGCAAGAGATTGCAAACAAGAGGATATCCACCTTGGACTACATCCGCAAGGCGTAAGGCTTCTCTCTGCCCCTCCTTGCTGTTCTTCCTTACTAATTGCTATATGGACAGACACGAAGGCCGCGTGTACTGGTTCAACACTATCCTCTTTGACAAGCCCGACCTCCAACGCATGCCCTCTTTTGACCAACGAAAGCTCGCCCGCCGCGCCACGAACTACCTCCTCCTCGGCCTCTCCCTGCCTACCATTGTCGATCTCTACGCAAACACCCCCATTGAGTTCCTGCGAAGCCTGAACAATCTACTCCAAGAATTCGAGTCGTTCCAACAGCTCCACGGAGAGGGCGGCAGCTCTACGAGCTCATTGTCGCGGGCACGCTTGCCACAGATGTTCCGTCGTCAAGGCGGAAAGTCACGGCGCAGCGCAAGTAGCGCCAACGACTTCAGCTCTTCCGGGGACGGCGCCGATGGAGGCATCGGTTCTTCTGGGAGCGCGAGCGCCAGCGTCATGTCCTTTGCGTCCAGCGACAACGACCTGCTCCCTGGCGAGGTTTACACTCATCTCCTCACACCATCCTTACCGTTCGAGCCGGACTTTTTTGAGACATTCGCGACACTATGCGAGGTGCTCATTGACGTTTACACGAGGGTCTTGACGCTGGTGCCCACGCCCAGAGAGACGACGGCGCCGGTAGCCGAGCTATTCGCAAAGGCCGATGCCAAGGTGCGCAAGATTATTGTGCAGGGTGTTGTCAAGGAGTTTGAGGACAGCAGCAGAGCACACATCAAGACCGAAGTTGCCAACATTGGCAAGGTGGTTCTCGGCGGACTAATGTGACGGAACGATATAAGGAGTCATGTCTGGTATGACCTGCATTTTTATGGAGTTGGAATGGCCTTTTTATGAGACATGGCAGAGGTCGGCGCAGGGAACTTCACGTCGGGACTTCAGATATACCACATTTTGATGTTGTTTATTGCTACCTATATACCTATGACCTGGACCGAAGATCCAAAGACCAACTAATCCAAACCATTGATAAAAGAGATTTAAGAAAAAGTTCATCAGATACCATAACGCATATTTTTGTCGCTCACATTGGCGGACCCTAAGGCCTCTCACCGTCAGTGCTTGACTCTATATTGGTGATCATCATCGAACTTGAAAAATAGTTTGAAACAGGGATCTTGTCGGCTCAGGGTATCATAGACGGGGAGACTTCCCACGAAGTCCAGAGTGTAGGTGTCTAACCCTTTGCGAACCAGACAAGAACCCGTGAGTTCTGGTGTGAGCCCCCCTCGCGCCGAGAATAAGCCCCATCGAGTAATCCCGCCCCCGTGAAGGGACGAGCAATCGCATAACTATCGATCTCGACGAAAGACTCCTCCGACCGACCCTTGAATTCGCCCGGCAAGCGACCTCCCCACGCGGCCGCCCCGTCACCGAAGAGCCCTCTCGTCCCATCCAAAGCACACCACCCCTCAGATCCCAAGCGCGGACTCATATCTTCATCCATGGGGTCTCGGAACGAGGGAACGGGGCTTCGAGAAGGGTGCAGAGGAGCCGCGACGATGTAGCGACGGGGCAGGGCGGAGGGGGAGAGCCATTGTGTCCGGACGCAGGTCTTGGAGGTCAGCCGCTGTGCTTCTATGGCGGCGCGTTTCCGCGGCGTTTTGCCTTCAACCCCGAAAGGAAGAAGTAACGTGTGTCCGGGGACTTTCTCCCAAAGCTGCCGGGCTACAAAGAGCCCGAGACGTTTTGAGGCGTCTCTGTTTGTGAGCTTCGATGGCGATTTGTCGGGCGAGGAGGGTTGTAGAAGAGAGAAAGCAAAATGCGAACCAGAGCTTTCAAGATTTTGTTTTAAATACCAATGGGAGAAAAAAAAAGTTGCTTGGGTGGTGGGGCGTCGTGGCTGTAGTGGGGCCGATGTGGCTTTGGCGCTGCAGCTACCCAGGTACGGCAGGCACGGTAGGCACCCAGCCTTGTGGCTTTGCAGCCAATCGAAGGGCGACCTCACTTTTCGCATCGCGACTGCCTTTCTCAGTGCTTCCCCTGCCTAGAAGATTCCTGGACCTCACCCAGCAGCTATTTGAAGCTGAGGCCGACCCTCTTTCCAGATCTCCAAATACAGCACCCGCTCTCGATCAAGACCGGTGCAGCTTTGATTTTCTCGACCGACCATCCGACCGACGAAAAGCTCTTTCCTCTTCTGTCCAACAAAAGCAGACCGACTATTCAACGGCTACCATGTCCGGCCTGTTTGGCTCCGCGGCCTCATCGACGCCGTCCAACACGGTCGGCGATCTCAAGCAGGACGTTGCGCTCAACAACCCTCCCGAGGACAGCATTTCCGACCTCGCATTCTCCCCGAACCAGAACCAGACCAGCGACTTCCTGGCCGTCGCGTCTTGGGACAAGAAGGTCAGAATATACGAGATTGCCCAAAATGGCCAGAGCGAGGGAAGGCACGCGTACGAGCACGACGGACCCGTCTTGAACTGCGACTTTTCCAAGGTACGAATGCACATTTCTCGGCATCTCTGTCCATCGCAAGAGCTAACATCATCTCTATAGGACGGCAGTAAGGTTCTCTCCGGTGGCGCCGACAAGGCCGTCAAGGCCTGCGATCTCGGCAGCCAGCAGACCATCAAGATTGGCGATCACGAGCAGCCCGTCAAGTGTGTTCGTTTTTTCGACTCGGCCAACGGCACCATGGCCGTCTCCGGCTCTTGGGACAAGACGGTCAAGTACTGGGACATGCGATCGCCCACACCCGCCGCTACGTTGACCTGCCAGGAGCGCGTGTACTCGATCGATGTGCGCAACGACCTGCTCGTCATCGGCACCGCCGACCGCTACATCAACGTTGTCGACCTCAAGAACCCGACCAAGTTCTACAAGACCCTACAGAGCCCGCTCAAGTGGCAGACCCGTGTTGTTAGCTGCTTCACGGACGCCGCCGGCTTTGCCATTGGTAGTATCGAGGGCCGCTGCGCGATCCAGTACGTGGAGGACAAGGATGCTAGGTACGTTTGTGCAAGACGCGATTTGGAAAGACATCCGACTGACAGGTGGACAGCTCCAACTTTTCCTTCAAGTGCCACCGCGACCCCCCGGCCAACAACATCACAAACGTATACGCCGTCAACGACATCTCCTTCCACCCCGTCCACGGCACATTCTCGACCGCCGGCTCCGACGGAACCTTCCACTTCTGGGACAAGGATGCTAAGCATAGGCTCAAGGGATACCCCAACGTCGGCGGCAGCATCACGGCGACCACTTTCAACAAGAACGGCTCCATTTTCGCGTACGGCATCAGCTACGACTGGAGCAAGGGATTCCAACATAACACGCAGGCGTATCCCATCAAGGTCATGCTACACCCCGTGCAGGCGGACGAGTGTAAGCCTCGCCCTACCATGAAGAAGCGATGAACGAACTAGGGGCGGATAATGGGGGAGTGTTTTGAGATTTGGTCCTGCATATTGTGCGAATGCAGACAGAGATAGCAGCCAGACTAGAGCCTGGGAAAGCGAGAAATTCTTTACACGCCGGGGGATTTTGCGTACTGTACGAGCCGAGAAATCAAGTGCTGCGAGAAGCAGTTATTATTATGGAAATCGCGTGTTGGACTCGCGACTGGGAGTCTAAGGCACAGGGCGATCGATACCACAAATTGGCAATCAAAAGCAACATTTATAATCAGAGCACGCACGTCACATTTTAAGTGAAGGGATGGTGATTTGAGATCCGTTTAAGATCCAGCTTTGAGTCGTAGAATTGATCATGCTTCTCGTACCCAGTATGATGTCTGTCTCCCTTAATCCTCCCTCCCAATGAAGTTGCAGCTTGCTTATTAAACCAATATGAGTGACCAAAAAAAAAAACCTGCTGCAGCCGCTATCCGAGCGAGCAACAACCCTTTGATGACTAGAATAAACCCAACCGCTTTGCATTTGTAGTGTTCACATCATGACATATTCATTCCCTCCCCATTTTTCATCTTCGTCTGTACTCCCGCTTTAGAGGGCAGCTTTCCTGCCAACAACGTCATCGACGAGACCCTTCCACAGATCCCTCAGACCAGGCTGGTGCGCGTCCTCAGTGGCCTCGCCCTCGTGCGCCCACTTGAGCTCGACGCCGTCGACGCCAAAGGCCTCGACCTCGGTCAGGGCGGCGGCGGTGGTGACGTTGTCCGGGTTGGCGGCGACGACGGAGATCTCGGGCTTGGAGAGGGGCAGGTCCTCGGCGAGGGTCTGCTCGTAGAGGGACTGGTGTTTTGTGGTGAAGGAGTCCGGGAGGAGGGGCATGCGCATGCCGGCGAACTCGTTTGCGGCGGGGGCGGCGTCGAAGGAGGCGGGGAGGACGGTGAAGTCCATTGAGGCGAGGGCGGGAGAGGCAGACGCGGGAGAGGAGGAGAAGGTCTGCATGCGGCGGTGGGCGGGAGATGTGCGGGTTGGTTGGGGGGTTGGGCGGTGGGTTGTTGTGAGGGAGCGGGTGGACTGAGGATTTGTGTTAGTGGGATCGTGGTTGGCATCATTGTGAGCTACAGCGGGGAACGCTTACGTCTTCAGAGCGGTTCTTGAGGAGCTCTGCGTACTTGGGCATGAGGACGGCGCCCTGGTTCACGTTGTAGTGAGACTCGAGGAGGCCGGAGGAGCGGCTGGCTGTCGCGGCCGAGTTGATGGAGCGGGCGAGCTTCGCGACGGGGGCGGTGATGCGTGACATTTTTGGTAAAAGCTGATTTCCGGGATCTGCTATGTGTGTGTTTGGAGGTTTGGTGTTTGTCACCGGAGGAGATGGACTCGAGGTGTTGGATATGGATGTACGAGAGATGCAAGTTGGACGGACGGATGGGAGCTGGCTGTTGGAGAGGAGGGAGGGGGAGATGCACGGCAGATATACGCACGGAAGGGAGGAAGGGGAACGGGGGTGGGATTTGGGAGCTTCTTTTCGACACGGATGGACACACACGCACTCACACACAGGCACACGCATGCTGCAGATGAGGGGAGGGGGACCGCCCTTGGTTTCCTCTGTCTCTCATCTCACACACCACACCCCTGGTCTGGAACTTGGACGGGATGGGATGGGATGGATGGACGAGGTGGGTTGGGAGTGAGTTTGGCCAGCTGCTGGGTTCGGGGATGGGACGAGATGGGAACGGGGAGTAGCGGCGGCGGAGGCGGCCAAACCATCCCTCCCCCGTAGGTGAGGTCAAGAGCTTGGAGAGAAAATGTTTGGGTGTAGGTACCGTTACTTGGGAGGTTCAGAGACGGGGGAGGATACATGTCCTGGCGGTGGTTGAGGGGAGCAAAGTGGATGTACCCGGAGGTCCGGCGACGGGCGGCCGGCGTGCCGGGAGTTGGGACTGTGGAGAGCGACCCAGAGAGGGTGGCCCTGGTGTTGAGAGGTACCTGCCGGGCGGGCAGGGGGGTGTGGAGGCCAGTACCTGTTAGCTAAGACGCCCTGTATTGTTGGGGAGGGATCCAATCACGATCAGCAGGGGAGTTTATTTGGTTGGCGGGGGATGTACGTGTCGGCGGTGATGTACATGATTGTGGTGTGTGTGTCTGTCTCTCTCTGTGTCTGCATGCACGCCATGTTATGCTTTCTGCTCGTCTTGTAGTGTACTCAGTAACTGCTGCATTGGATAGTGCGGTGAGTTGAGGATAAGCAGTAGCAGCAGCAGCAGCAGCAGTAGTTGCAACTTTCATCCAGTCTCCTCCCGGATGCATTTGCGCCAGAGCAGAGTAGTCTTGGTGTGGCGAACATCACGGTCGAATGTCTCTGCAGAGCGCCGACAGTTGTTTGTAAAAATGGCACTATTATACAATGGAATCTGGGAAGAGCTGGCGAGGGAAAACGCCCGATCGATGCGGGCGCGTGAGCTGAGGACGGGAGGGGAATGGTGCGGTTTTGGTGGGCGTGGCATGCGATCTCTGCCGCGACCGCTGGATGTTGCTGCTACGCTACCACGCTACACCACACTGTGTATCTGGATCTGGATTCGTGCGGGAGAACGAGTCGCTCTCAGTCTCTCCTGGGTGGCGCATTGCTCGTCCTCTGTTGGAGAAGAGAAAAAGATGGAACGGCTTCCGTTTGCAGAGCTGAGTTGCGGTGTGGGGGTTGGAACCAGCTCCAGTGAGGCAAGAAGAGAACAGGGCATAGCGGTCAAGACTCGGGATTCCTCTGGTGAGAGTTGGCCGGGTCGGTCAGCACGACAGGCCTGTTCAGGTCAGATCAGGTCAGATCAGGTCAGGGTCGGGCTCAGGTACACAGATACACGGTCGAGAACTGAGGCATTGCTTCGTGACCCTGCCAAGGCGGGTGACGGACGGGATGTAGTGTCTGCGTTGCCATAGCGTGTGTGTGAGAGCATCAGCAACGAACACCGAACACCCACCCACCCACGACTTGGAGGAGATAGCCCACGCTATCCAAACAAATGCGATGGGTCTTGGTCTAATTTAGGCCTGGTTATCTGCGAACTGGCTTTCGCGGGTGTCAGATTGTCAGATTGGGAGGCAAAGAAGGGACCTCTACCTTGTCATGTTGTGACAAGAGGAATGACGAGGCGGGAGGCGGTTTCCGAGAGAGAGAGAGAGAGAGAGAGAGAAGAGCGAACATCAGACAGACACGTTCCAACGGGTTTCCCTGACTGGACTGGACTAGGCTAGGAGCAGGGAGCGAGAGCGCGGGCAATGCTGATAAGAAACGGGCTGGATTCTAGACAACTCAACAGAAAGTAGAGACATATTCCTGCCTTGACGCTGGTGGTGGTGATGGACAGGCGTAGCACCAGTCAAGGACTCAAGTCATGGACCCCCGTCGCATGAGCAGCGTGCGTGTCTGGTTTCCACCATCTCTTGCTGTTCTGGGTTCTTGTTTATGGGTTGTTGATTTCTGCTTTGGTGGTCGAATCAGGGGTTGTCTGCTCATGGAAATGCTTGTTGAGCTGAGCTGCTGAGCGGTAGGAACAGAGGCTGTGTTGTTCGTACGAATAGGTACCGCAGTACAACTGACTGAGGTGACAGTTGAGCTGGGGGGAACTCGAGGCGAGCAGGGCCATAAGCCCAGCGCCTTGCCAGTCCACCGCTGTGCTGCCCTGCGCTGGGTGTCACTTGTCACTGAAAGTTGTCAACCCCCCTACCAGAAACCCAAAAAAGCTTCGAGACGTTGAGGAGCTTGGGCCACTGCGGGTCCACCCCGGCACATGCGCCTTGCTTCCCGTCTCCACCACACCTCTTTTTCTTTTTTTCCGCCTAGCAGCACGTTTGGAGCGTGTGAGTGTGGTGGGAGCTGCTTGCTGCCAGTTGGTGCGGTGCGCTCCAACACAGCACAGCTGCGCAACGCAACGCAACAAACCAGTGACACACAGCTTGCACCTTTGGCGCAATCATCTCACCTCACCTCACCTCACCCACGAACACACCAGAGAGCTAAAGCACGCCGGGTCTGCCGCTTGAAGATTGTTGACCGAGAGGCGCATTGGCGGCTTGACATCGTCTCCCTCTCCCTCCCCTCTCTTTCGTCACCATCGTTTCTGCTGCTCTCGAGTGGACTTGGCAAATTTTCCTAGAGGTTTCCTCAAGCAACCTCGATAAGGCGGGAAATTTCCTACGAGTCTGGACAAAAGCCCTCCGAAAATGGGTTGGTTTGGCGGGCACCGGATGCTTTCCCCTAGGTACGCATACCTCCCCTGTTCCCAATCCAAGACATCACTCGGCGCTAGTCTTGGAGCTCCCTGCGCCGTACCTGCGACCCCATGATCGCCCGCATCGGCTGGGCATGCCTTGATGGGGTTCCCGTTCCTGTCTGTCTCTGCTCTGCTCTGGCTATCTGCGATATCTGTCTGGGCATGTACTGGACACACCAACCTGAAGCACGGTACATTGACATTGACCCTGACATTGACACTGGCAGGTTCTGGAAGCGGTCGAGGGGCCAAGCAGGGAGACGGCGGCGATCATTGCATCTCGAGGCAAAACCAGAAACAAGATCCCCCGGCTTCGAGAGATTACCAGCGTTTGCCAACCGTTAAAAGCATAAATTAATTGGCAGGCTGGTGAGCAGGGCGAGCGGACAGGGCTCGACGTCCCTCTGAAGCTGGCAGAGTACCACGCAGTCACGCAGTACCAGAGCTGGCGGCTCCTTTCCCTCACCGCTTGGGGTCGGGGGTGTCCAGGTTCGTCGAATCATCCTGGAAATGCGTCCGCCCTGATTGGCCGGGCTGCTGGACGATCGGCGCATGGCCAGATCGTTGGGAACCACCCCCGTTCCACCTCCCACGTCGCTCGTCCTGCCCTTTTTCCTTAGGTTCACAGTGTTGATGTTTCTGTCCAGTAACTGTGGGCTTCTCCAACCCCACTCGCTCCACCCAGCGCAGCGACTCCGTCAAGACTCAAGAGTCAATACTTAGTACACGCAAGACCGCACCGGGAACCATCCCGACTGCAACGACTCAGGACCACCACCCCGACCGGCGCACTTTGGCTACGTCGGCGGGATAAGCAACAGCGAACGACGGTTGCAACCTCGGAGTAAACGGCATTCCTGCTGCTTCGCTGTTCACTCGCCTGTCCACTCAATCCACCGTCGCACACCGGGAGAAGGAGCTTATGCAAGCTACACTTCAGACGGCGTCTCGTCCTTCGTCCTGTCCTCGACTTCCGCGCGACGGGTCTGCTCGAAACTCGGCGATACCTCACCTCATCAGATCATCGCGGTGACGAAATCGTTGGGGATACCATGGCACCGGTGATGGTGACGAAGAGTGGAGGGATGATGAGCTGCTGCCGCCGGGGAACGGCGGCCCTCTCTGCCAGACTTTCTTGATTTCTGATACCCGCGCGACGCAGGAGCAGCATCAGCGTTGACAACAGCTCAGAGATGTGGAAAGAACTGTCGCCGAAGTTCAGATCCATCCGTGGCCGTGGGGGTGTACGGTAGCGCGCTCTCTCTTCTAACCCTTCGGACAATTTTCCCAGGACCAAAGCGAGTCTGTGCGAGGGTGAAGGGAAGGGAGCACCACCACGCGTGGACTTGCGCTTTCTCCAACGCCCAGCGCCATTTCTTGCTGCAACTGTATTTTTAGTACCTCTCTCTGCTTTACCTTCTTCCGGGCGAGAGGCCGTGCGACAGGACACGCGGTGGTTCGGGGGGTTTCCTGTCTGCTGGGCTGGACGCCGTAAGGCCCTTCAAGGCAAACGCCAGCCCTGCCGGCTAGCGGGAGGCCCTTCGTGGCTGGGGGCAAAGATGCAAATCGCCGTCCGAACCAGGAGCGAGTTCGAGATTCACTGTGCTACCAGGGCTTGAAGTTCGGGTGGCTGACTTTGGCAGACGCCTCGCCTGTGTCCGGCCCAGCCCATTCTATACTCTGAGATTGCTTATAGGTAGGTATGGTGGCGATTGGCGATTGAGGACGCGCTTCAAAAGGTTGATAAATGTCTTTTGATTTGGCCCCTATGCGCATGCATACTGTATGCGAATGCAATGCCTGTCTCTAGGAAGGCATGCGCATGCGAGATAGAGAGATAAGAAAGGTCTCTGGCCATGTTTGAGATTCGCAACACGCGATTGGCATCTTGGCTTGGATACGCGGGTTGGCGAGTGAGCGAGGCGAATGGGAGGCGGTCGATTTGTGCACGTCTCACCGCTCATTCCGTCCTGATATGAGTGGCCGGCCTCGATTCACAGTGTCCTGCATATCGAACGCGGACAGGTCGTGGTTGTTTACCTGCTGCGACGACGTGCGACAAGCTACTCGCTGACCACGCAGGGGAGGGGAAAGGGATGTTTCTCGTCATGGTATGTAATCGGCATCACCGCCGACTTCATTGGATTCATCTGCTCGCGTGGGGTTTGCTCAGGGGTTGACTTGCATCCTCCTGACGGGCCGGGCCTGGGGCGTGTAAGTGTGTAAGGAGTAGTATGTGGTGTGTACAGTGTTGCTCTCTCTTGTGATGTTGATCGTTGGTTACACCATCGTTAAACGGGCAGATCCCTCCTTCGTTATTTTTGACGTCTTCGTCACCGAACGCCCCCCAAATCCCAAATGGGGTGGAACGGTCCAATCAACGCTGGGCCCGCGCCCACGCGAGGGTTCAAAAATAAGCATTTCGTAGACGAGAGAAAGGAAAGTGGATATTCTTCAACAGAAGCATCGCAAAACCAGGGACCTGGAACAGAGACGTCGGACGACGTTCAACGGGTCGAAGGTCGCAAACGCCGAGGGGAGGGTCATTATGGAAGCTCGGTCTCCGAGCTCAGCTCCGGCGGCGACGACGTCGACGCCAGGCGCAGCACCAGGACCAGCAGCTACGACAGAAGGGGAGCCATCGGCTCCGGGGTTCGTGTCGCTCGGCATGGTCGTGCTGGACGAGATCCGCTTCCCGGACGGGAGGGTTTTGAGGGATGTTGCCGGCGGATCCGGGTTTTACAGTGCGTTGACGTTTGGCCCTTTCTTTTGCAGATCTGTGGCATATTCATGGCTTTGGTATATCCAAGGGGAGGGGTGTGTGTTTGTCTTTGGCTGATGTGAAATGTTGCTGTGCTTGTACAGGTACCCTCGGAGCTCGACTCGCTGTTCCGCGGGAGGACGCCGAGACGGTATGTTGCCTCGTCGTGGCCGGTGACGACTTCCCGGCGTCGGTAGTGGAGCAGATCGAGGCTTGGGGCGTGACGGCGCGGGTGCAGAAGGTCGAGGGGAGGTTGTCGACGAGGGGGCTGTTGGTTTACGAAGATGATGTCTTTGGGAGTTGGTTCTGATCGCCTTCTGCCCTGGGAATGGTGAAGAGCTGACTGTGTGGTTTTTCAGAAAAGACATTTCGATATACGACGTCGCCTCTCCGGCCGAGTGTTGAGGAGCTTCCGGGTTATTTGCGTCGTGCCTCCGTCATTCATACGTTAGCAGCGCCGGAGGATGCGAAGCAGCAAGTTGCCGCACTGTTTGGGGATGGCTATAGTCAAAGACTGCCAGACCGTCCTCTCTTTGCCTGGGAACCTTCACCACTGCATTGTGACGGGGCATGGAAAGACCACCTGGACGCCGGGCACTTTGTCGATGTTCTATCTCCCAACGACAAGGAGGTCGTCAAGATGATGACTCCCCAGGTGGAGGAGGGACCGTGGGATAAAGGCCTGGTCGAGCGGGCTGCCGCGCTCATCTCGGGCGAGGAAAGTCGCCAGAGGGACCCGGAGCGGCAGCGGCGATGGACTACGGTGGTGCGGTGCGGAGAGTACGGTTGCCTGACGATTCCTAGGGCCTCCGCGCCGGTCTGGCTTCCTCCATATCACGATATTGGGTCAGATAAGGTCGTCGACCCAACTGGAGCTGGGAACGCATTTCTCGGGGCCTTTGCCGTTGCGTACAAGAAGACGGACGATGCGGTTCTTGCGTCTGCGTATGGCGCCGTGGCGGCTAGTTTTGTGATTGAGCAAATGGGGCCGCCGAAAAGGGAGGTCGTGAACGAGAGGGAACTGTGGAATGGCGAGGAGTTTGGGAAGAGGTTGGAAGCATATAAAACCAAAGCCAAGACGTGGGACACCAGCGTCGTAAGTTGTCACTTCAGGAGCAACTCGGCCTGGGCTGAAGGAAAGGAGCTGTTCCAGTAGGATCCATAGGTGGGTATCAAGACTCGTCTATTTTGTGTGTTTTTATATCTCTTTTCCCAAAAGTAAAAATCCGTAATCATGCATGAAAAACATCGTCTCTCAGTTTCTGCCCCTATTCCGTTCACATTGCCCACCTTCACCCACTCCCATCTACCGAATGACCTGGGTACCCTCCGCCGGCTCGAGGATCTTCCATTGGCAGCCGACGTCCTTGTTGGAGTTGTTCTCCTTGAGGATCTTGATGATCCTGTTGGCAATCTCCTCAAAGTTGCTCGTGGCGAGGGCGAGGATGGTGGGGCCGGCGCCGGAGAGGCAGACGCCAAGGAAGCCGGGCTGCGTGCTTGGGGACATGCTCTCGACGATCTGGCTCAGGCCGGGGATGAGAGTCTGGCGGTAGGGCTGGTGGACCTTGTCCTGCATGGCGAGGTGGATGAGTTCCGGGTCCGGGGGCGAGGAGCCGAGGGCGACGGGGAGGAGGGCTATTCTTTGCATGTTGAAGGTCTGTTGTCTTGTGTTAGTGATCATGTTCTTGTGGAACGACGGTCGACCGGGGCCGGACTTACAACATCGGGACGGGAGTAGTGAGGAGGAAGAACCTCGCGGGCAAGGTGGGTGGGGACCTGGAAGTCGGGGATGATGGCGATGGCCTTGATCTCCTTGGCCCAGGGGAACTTGATGTGGTGGCCGATGCCGTGGGGAGGCTCGGGCGGGGTCTCGCCGGTGTCGACGCCGCCGGCCGGGGCGGGGAGGACCTCGCTGAGCGGGATCTCGATGCGCTGAACGTCTTCGGGCTTCAGGGGGCGGAGGTAGGTGCCGACGAAGCCGCCGTACAGCGAGGCGCCGACGTTGTCGGGGTGTCTCTCTGCGATGTGTGTGAGTGACTTGGTCCTACATCAGATGAAGAATGACATACCAATCATGAGACAAAAGTCGAATAACCTGTCGAGATCCAAATGGTCGAGGTGGCCGACCTCCTTGCCGAGCATGACGCCGGCGACGACGGCGGAGCCGGAGCTGCCGAGGCCGCGGCCGAGGGGGATGGGGTTCTTGATGTGGACATGGGTCTCGACGGGGAACATGCGCTGGCCGTGGCAGCGCAGGACGTAGAGGGCGACGCGGGTGATGAGGTTGACGGAGGGGTTGAGGCTGATGTCCGGGGTGCCCTCGCCCTGGCCCTCGTAGGTGATGCGGCAGTTGAGGGGCTCGGCGGAGGTCTGGACGGAGCGGTCGATGGTGACGTGCAGCTCGAGGTAGATGGAGAGGGCGAGGCCGATGACGTCGAAGCCCGGGCCGATGTTGGCGGAGGACGACGGCGTCTTGATCACGAACGTCTCTTTGGTCATGGTGGGCGGGCAGGCGGTGTAAGTTGAGAGGGTGAGGGGTGAGTTTCTGGCGGTGGTGGTGAGGGGGAAGGCCTGGTGTTGGATCTGGCCTGATCGGCGCGTGCGGTTCAATTGACTTTGATCCCAGCAATTCAGCTTGGACGTGTGAGTGTCTTTTGCTTCCGAGTGAGATGAAGCCGTCACGGAGTTCGCTACAGGTGTGAAATGAGCGTGAGTCGCGTCTATCTGGTGGCCACTAATCGTTCCGTGACTCAAAAAATTTGAGAGGCCCCGATGACGGAGGAATGCAAATGCGGCAGCGCGGCGGCTCTCCTTTGGCGGGGTGTGTGAAGCACTGAAGCCCTACGCGGAGTGCGGGGTGCCTTTTGCGTGCACCCATTGGCCAATCCGTGTTGAGACGGGGCATTTTTATCTTATCGCTCCCGCGCATCACGCCATGTCCTGCTCACCTGTTTGAGTTTGGCTGCTCGATGGTGAGTGTGTTGCCAATGAAGGTCGCTTCTTTTGACTTCACCTCATGCGACGCTGGCTGTCTCTTTTTCACTTTTCGTGAAGAGCCCGAGTGGAGGGATCTGTTGCTACGACGACACATCATGCTAGGTATATCAGAGGTAAGTATAACCTCGGCCTTGGAACTCGAAATGAGCTTCATGCGACGTGAGAAACAAACACTCGGCTGCGCAAGACTATCAAATCAGCAACATCCCTTGCACATCGGCTGATGGTTGACTCGAGAAACGAAACGAAACACGGCCATTCTTGTTGATCGTCGATATTTCTGGGCTGCAACGTCTTGTTATCGGATGGCCTGAGGTCCCACGCTGGAGCAGCGATCGACATGAGCCCGCTTCATTATCTGAACGTCACGTCGCTCTGCCATCTCCCTTGTTCTGACATCAAACCAACTCACATCTCCGCCTTTTTATATTGCCCTCACCCCGGGAGGCTCGTACTCGGTCAGCTGTCGACCTTTGCACCCCAGACATATTGAAACGATATCACATATCCAGCAGCCCACCGGGTCCTCACTCACCTTCACGCCTCCGATCATTGCCGAAAGCATTGCTCGCTGTCAGCGTCCGGTGGGTGCGCTGCAATGCCCAGCCCGCATCCCAAGTCAATATTATCCCAGATCGCGCGCTCCCGTCGGACTCCCGCAGCGATGCTAGGCCCATTCACCGCCTCCGCGATATCTACCGGAAACATCGAAAAGCAAGCGGAGAAACAGAAGCGACAAGACCTCGTGTTTCTGCCGAGCCAACCGCACCAAAGCTCCACCGATCCCCATCAAACAATGCCCATCGGCAGTGTACCGTGAAGAAGCTTATGGAAAAGCGGCCGGGGGTGGGCGATCTCGCAGATGTCACGAACGCTGTGCGGCCGATGTCCCCGAATATCTATTCTCGGATTTTCCAAGGCTACATCATTGCAACCTGAACCTCTGGAGACTGGATGAACTAAGGGTTCCCTCGCATCGGGCTTACCGCGGAGAGAGGCATCGCACAGCCCGAACTTCGTTCTCCGCCCGTAACAAAAAAAAAAAAACACTGTGAGACTGGCGCGCTGATCACCGCGCTTGCGCGCTTGTAACGTTGCTCGGCTGGATTGTCAGCGTAAAGCGAGGCTGTCGCCTCTTGGGCACCGAGCGGAGGCTTCGGGGGGTCATCTTTTCGCCGTCGCGGGGAGCTATGCGGCGACGGCGTCTCATTGGCGTCATGCCCATGTTGTGGTCATGCTCGTGGCAGCAGCAGGATTTTCCGGGAGGCTCAGTCGCTTTTAGTCTGTTGACGGAGAAGAGGCTAACGTCCGCCACTGCCGTACTTTGCAGCGCGGAGCATTTCTACGCTTCATCCTTTTGAGAGCCGATTCATCACTCGGAAAACAGCATGTCTCCCCGAGCTGAGAGATGAACAGAGGCCGACGGGGTCGCATTCGGCGGATGCGTGCGTTGGCGAAGAGACCGTTCCTGGCATTGTGAACACGAGGAAAACCAGAGACCACCTGACGTTGCGTCCCGCTGAAGTTTCTATGGGGCGACGCCGATGAGTTAAGGCGAGTAATTAGGGTCGCAATGGGAAAGCCGACTGAGGCTCCGCTGCACTGGGTGAGGCGGGCGGCAGAAAGGCAAAAAAGAAGAGAGAGGTCAACACTACACTAGATCGACTCAGCCTGCGACGTGCTGACTCGAAGAGCGAAGAGGATTTCCCGTGCAGCTGATATTGAAGCATGAACGTGAGGTGTAACTTGTCGATGTCCCACTGCGAGAAAGAAGCGGCGGCGGCATATGGTGGAGGCTGGCAAAAACTGGGGCGCAACTCTGATGGAACCTCGACGGAAAACATCGAACCAACGGGCGAGCAGCCCACTGTAGAGCACTAACCTAAATCGAACCTAGGGGGATTCCGACTGCTAAAAACAGAAGGGTGACAGCCATCCCGCCGCGCCGTCCGCCGTCGGCCGCAGCCACTCAGGCAATCGCGTGGCCAGTGAATACGAGAATCTGGTGGTGAGCCCACCTACCTATCCGTACCCAACCTCAGTCCAATTCATACGGAGCGCTCTAAGAGAGAGACAGAGAGAGAAGATCCTCAGCTCCGGATGTTGCTTGCCTGCGGCCTTCCTCCGTCCACCACCCACCCACACACACACACACACCCCCATGCAGCAGCACAAGACCCCTGTCTTGCTTCTTTCCCCACGACCAACAACATCCAAGATCTGTGATCGGCGCTTTTTCTCACCTTACCTTACCTTAGCCCGGCCTTGCCCGCCTCTGCTAGCGTAGCATCGCACCTTCAATACGAATTGACGGAACCTAAGGAACCCTGGGGAAGTAAGGCTTCGTTCGGCTGCTAGCTTCTTCCCCTCTCCGGCAGTCTTCCCATACGATGTGACATGCGACATGGAGTCTTGCCAAGCTTGACGTAGCAAGGGTCCTGTGCCGCTTCCATGTCACGACATGACGCTATTGCCGGAGACACCACAACGTCATGGTCATGGCTCGCCGTTGGGACACGGCTGGTGTCTCCTCTCCATTCACTCGGTCTGGTGATGGAGCTGTAGCCTCCGCTGGCAAGGGGGCTGTGGAAGCGAGGGAGGATGTGGGCGTGGATGGACGGAAACCGAGGAGGCTGATGGATCTCGCAGGCCGTCGAGATTCTATAAAGAGAGACGAGGAGCTCACGACATCCGACCTGTTTTTTTCATCATCCTCATCAGCTTCTTCACCAGCCTTCTTAGCCTCAACCTCAACTACAAACAACTCATCTTCACTCCCAAGCTCCCGAGCCTCATCCACCCACCACAACAGCCAAAATGCAGTTCTCCAACCTCGTCACCATCCTCTCCTCCGTCGCCGCCGCCGCGGCCGTCTCCGTCTCCTTCGACACCGGCTACGATGACGGTGCCCGCTCCCTCACCGCCGTCTCCTGCTCCGACGGCGCCAACGGCCTGATCACCAAGTACGGCTGGCAGACCCAGGCCAACGTCGCCCGCTTCCCCTACATTGGCGGTTCCGACGCCATTGCCGGCTGGAACTCCCCCAACGTGAGTCCCTCATCATCCTCACTTCTCACACGAGCATCACCGCTAACACCACAAACAGTGCGGCACCTGCTGGCAGCTCACCTACAACGGCAAGAGCATCAACGTCCTCGCCGTCGACCACGCCGGCTCCGGCTTCAACCTCGCCCTCGGCGCCATGAACGACCTCACCAACGGCCAGGCCAACCAGCTCGGCCGCATCGACGCCCAGGCCACCCAGGTCGCCCTCAGCGCCTGCGGTCTGTAAATCACCACACGACCTCGGCGATGTCTTACGATATTAAAAACATTAATGTCTTGTTTAAAGCATAATGGGGTTTGTCCCACGAGGGGAACTCTAAACATCTGCATGGAACCGGCGCTCTTCAATCATTTGGCATATGCATATCACGATACATTCCTTAGAACATATTAAAACATAATGAGAGAGATGGTTTTTCAGCCTCTATAATATTTGTTCTTGATGCATGACTGTGATGTTCAATTTTATCCATTACATAGGTCTGGCGCAGAGGAGAAAAAGCACGACTTGTGACTGCTTACGTCTCGGTCGAAAACGTGCGTACTGACAAAGTAAACTAGATTCAGATAGTGCCTCGAAAAGCCTAACAAAGACTGTCCCAGAATACAAACAAGTTTCAATCTGTCTCGCCAAACTTTTCCCTCCACCATCAATCTTGTCCTGGTCTAGTTCAAGCCGGAGACGTTCACAGAAATATACGCATCCGCAGACGGCGCAGCACCAGCGCTGTCCCTCGGGGGCGAGGGCACCAAGCCCACGGGGATGTCCACGATCAAGACGGCACGGTTGACGTCGTAGTTGACCTGCAGCCCGCCGTCGTGGATCTCCCGACCGGTCTGGTCCTTGAATGTGACGCTGACCAGACCCGGGTTCGTCGGCGCCGTTGCCTTGACGGCCCAGATGGCGAGCTGGTAGCTCTTGCCCACAAGGTGATCGGCGTCGAAGCCGTTCCACGGATGCGAGACCTGGATGACTCGGTTCGGGGCGTAGTCCTACAGATCCCATTGTCAGTTTGATGCGAGTGCGGATGGGGTTGGGAGTAGCGAGCAATGCGTACCTGGACGAACTTGACTTCGCGGTACTTGTTCTGAGCCTCGGGTGTCCCGCTCTTGTGGTTGTCATGGCGGTTGGTGTACTGAGGGAGGTAGTCGGGCGCACTGTCGCGGCTGACGCCGTCATCCAAAAACATGGAGTAGAACTGGCGATGCAGGTCAGTTAAGTCCATCCCGAGGGACGCTTCAAGAAGCGAAACGAACCGTTCTCTTGTTTCCAGGGTAGATGTGGATGGTTGGCGGGTTGTGGTTCCCTTCGTCGATCGACTGACGGACTTCGAGCTGGGGGACAATGGCACCTGTGTTTCTGTTAGATGATGCTTCTTCGTTGGCACGTTGGGGCAGGACAGCAGCGTACCGCCGCGGAGGTAGACCGGTGTCACGAAAGGAATCTGTTCAGTGTTGTTGATGCCATCAGGGATGCCGCAGCCAAAGCTGATGGTCGTGCCGCCGTCAACGGGCTTCTCTAGCCGCGCGGCGTGCTTGATCTTTAACGGATCATCTCCGTCTTGAACGCGGAGGTTGGATGGGAACCAGAGGTCTGTGCCGGGGAGGTAGACGTCGCGATTGTAAACGCCGGGGTTCAAAACGGGGCAGACGAGGATGTTGTGGCCGAGAAGATACTGGTTGTCGATGAAGTCATCGTTGGAGTTGAAGAGGGAATCGTCGTCGGGATCGGTGATGAGCTGGACATGTCAGTTGGTTGGTTACCAGAGGATAGGGGGCTTTGGGTGGATAACCTACCATGGCACGAGCGATAGGGAGACCGTTGATGAGGCTTGCAAACATGGTGTCGTAGAGGACCTGCATCAGAGAGTATCGAAGTTGGACGTAGTACCTGCAGATCGGCATAACCGAGTAGTACAGGTTGTAGAGCCCCTGGGGAATGTACTGCCCGTAGTCTCGGGGGGCATATGTGTATTGCCAAGGTTCCTGTGTCTAGTTAGGTATCTGAAAAAGAACAGAGAGTAAGAATACGGAGACTTACTTGGAAGACCTTCGTGTCGAAGTGCTGGTTGTAATGGTTCCTGTACCACGGCAGCAAGAATGCGCCAGTGTACCAACGAATCAGCAACTCGGGGTCACACCAACGCGGCGCGCTGAGCGAGGAGTTGGGGTCGAAGGTGAAACCTCCCATGTCAACGCCAGCAATGGTCAGACCGCTGTATCCCAGAGCAATGACCTGCGCGACGGAGATTCTCCAAAAGTCCCAAGAACTGCCGTTGTCACCGGTCCACAGGCCGGCAAAGCGGTGCATGCCAGTCTGGCTGCCGCGGCCGATGATGAAGTTGCGCTTGTTCTCTCTGCCCTTGAGCTTGTTCAGGCCGTGGTATGTTGCCTTGTGCAAGTTGTAGGAGTAGAGGGCCCAAAGCTCAATGGCAGTCTTGGTGGGCGGTTTCACGTCAGGCTTTTGGCCGTAGACGTCGTCTGACATCTTGAGTCGCGAGGGGAAACTGTGTGGGCTATTAGCACGGCACTATTCAACGAGTTAATATCATCTACCCACCCAAGCATGTCGCCATAGCAGTTTCCAGCAGCCGGTGTGGTCATGTCCTGCCAAACGAACTCAAGACCGTCATCGAAAAGCTGCTGGTATTGCTTTCCCCATGTTTCACGAGCCACGGCGCGGTTGAGATCAGGATAGTATCCAACCTGTGCATGTGTCAGTGTGCAGCGATGAGTTACCTGCGCCTCCTCCCAAAGTAGGCGCTGGCAGTTGGGGCGTCAACGTACAGTTCCCAAGTTCGCGCCATAGCTTACGCCTCCATGAAACGGGTAGCCGCTGTTGTAATTACCCTGGGGTTTGTTCTGGTCCGGCTCAATGAAGACATAGTTGTCCGTGTAAGTTGGCGCTCCAATGTAGTCGGCGAAAGTGATCCGATCGCTCAGGGCGTCTGGGTTCTTGTACGATGGACTGGCGTATCCTCCATCGTACCTCGTACATCCGTTGACCGGGAATTCGCTGGGCAAACCGTCTGTGTACCGCTGATCGGCCACCAGGAGGCTACATCGAATCTTAGTAGTGACCATTCACAGTTTAATCATACAAACTTACTTGGTGGCAGGATTGAGCTTGTCGTTTTGGTCCCAAAAGGCTCTCAGGGCAAAGTACGGGTCCGAATTCGACTCGCGGAAGGTCAAAATTGGCGTGATATTGGTGCAGCTCTTCACTCCTCGAGCCTTGAGATTCTTCAAGAAGCCTCCGACATCGGGCCAGTTGATACCGTTGGTTGTGAAAGTACGGTAACGATCCTGAGTATGTCAGCTGGGTCCTGGATTGCGCAGTGGAAAGAATTCGTACTTGGAAGTCGACGTCGAGATGCATGCCGTCAAGAGGAATTCCCGACAAACGGTAGCCGTCTACTATACCGTTCACGGTGGCATCGGAATCGTACCCGTAACCTATTTATGTCAACAGACGACCGACTGGCGATCGATTAATTCACTTACATCCTTGGTGGTGACCCAGAATGAAACGCGGCTTCAGCTTGGGACGTCCCACAATGGATGTGTATTGCCTGGAGAATGTTAGCGGCATTCGGATGGAAAATATGAAGACTTACCAGATCATCCTAGGCACGTCGTTGGCAGTCATGATGTAGGCATCAAAGGTTCCGAATCGAGTGCCCACACCGATGGTGTTGGAGTTGTTCTTGCCGAGGTCGATAGCGACTTGGGAATAGTTGTCCACCATCAAACCCGTGACGTTCCTGTGCTCCGGGGTTCCGTTCATCTCCAAGTAGAACGGAGTCGAATGATAGAGAGGCTCCTTGGGGTCCAAGGCTCCCTGGCCGTAGACCTTGGTGTAGTTGAAGTTATCATAGCCTAGACAGGTTAGCGGTGATTGTCTTAAATCCACGAGAGATGCTTACAGAAGAAGTTCATGTAAGTGGGCTTCTTCAGGACGGTGCGTCCTCCCTGCTCCCCGAAACCGAGATACTGGGCCTGAGTGGGCTTGTTGACGTTGAGAACCACGTTGTTGATTACCCCGATTTTGGAGTCGTCTTGGTGCATGAAAGTCTGCTTCGTGGTCTGCCAGATAATTTGCTCAGAAGTAGAGGTCGCAGCAACGCCAACACCATCCTGAAAGGTGGTAGAAGGCTTCGGCGCCAGCTCCCTGGTGACCTGTAAAGCGTGAGTTTAGGATATCAAAGCTAGCGTTATGCACTTACAATGATACGGAAAGGGTCATTCAAGATGTGAATCTTGGTAGCAACCTTGCCCTGGGCGTTCTTGTCCTCATATTCCAGAGACTTCGGTCATGTTAGTGAAGTTGAGGCGACTGTTCAGAGGAAAAGCTCACAGTGAGGACCCAATGCCGATCGCCCATCTTTTCAAAGGTCGTGTTCCAGTGCCAAGTCTCTCCGGCCTTGTGAGCGTTCCATGCCAGGGCATCTCGGTACTCTTGCTGAAGGTCATCAACAAGGTCCGCAAAGCTGTTCATCACAATGGTGCGACTGTTTTATGGCTGGTTAGATGAAGAGTTCACACTTTAGATGACCAGTACTCACGAGTTGGCATCCGGATAGTCGGTGACATTTTGGAACTTGGGGTTGTATCTGATTCTCCAGATCTGAGGCGTGACGAACTGAATGAGGACATGCGTATTATGACCTTTGTTCACCCCTTCGAGAGTTACATGGGCGGCATAGCGAAGAGGATTGTTGTCCTTGGACTCCGAGGTGGAAGACTGGACGTCCAGAACATTGGTTGACTTCTGGAATCCCGGGACGTTCTGGTTGTAAAAGACATCCGCCGGAATGAAGTTCAAAGGATCATTTGGTGCAGACATGATGAGGACGCTGAGCCAAGTAACGAGTGAGATGATCTTTCGTGATCTGTAGACTGGAAGTGGGAGATAGCTACGTCTTAAGTATCGTGATGTTGCTCGGCCGCGCTCAATCACGCACCAACATGATATCTCTGGAGAAATTGAACATGGCCGAGACTGGTCCGCCCTCGCCTTTGCCACGAGGTCGGTATGCTGCCGCATGAGAATGAACGGGACTTGGAATGACTGGAACGTGAAGGATTCAGCGATCGTCATGTCAACTGCCGCAACAGCTGAGACCGCATGCGAATGGAACTTCGCGGGGAATCCGCGCAATCATCGTCGTGGCCGTCGTGTTCATCTGGTATTCGTGGCTATCGCTATTGCGGACTTCTCGGCTATAGCAATCTTCTTTAATACCACCGTGTCTGCCACGACTTTCGATATCGTTGTTGTCGGCCTTGTTTCCTAAGCCGGATGACATGTAGATGGGTTCGGCCGAGGGCCCTGGGACGGGCCGCCATGCACGAGCCGAAGGTGGGACCACGTTGGCATTGGAACGGTCAATGTTGAGCCAACCTCGTCGAGGAACTGTTGATTTTTCTCCGTTTTAGGATTGTAGTAGATGTTGGGGTAATAAGACAGTCTTCAGCCCGTGGCTAGCTGAGCGTCCAAAATAAGACAGACTTCAGGGTCGTGTCTAGCCATGAATGCCGGATCTACGGGGCTCGACCGAGAAGAGACTCGCTCAAACTCTGTTGTCAAAATGATACAGCATATCAGCAAACGGATTTGCATTCAATCGTTCCAGTTAACGAACCATCATGAAACACATATTTCTTGGGGGCCAGATGCTTTCAGCATGGTGGATATAAGCCTAGCAAGCTAGTCTTTAGCCACAAGAGGCCGATCTTCGAAAATGTAGCGGGTTTACGGTTGATTGCAAGACAAGGCGTTGCTTCGATACCTAGACGGGCGAAACCTGGCTGCTTAGATATGGGAATTTGGGGGTTGAGTCCGACTTACTGAAACCCCATGGCACGACCATCGCCAAATTCATCATGCAAACGATGCCAAGAACTCCAGCCGCACTCGCTTGGTTGCAAATCTTTGCTAATTTAAGGCTCGGCCCAGACTGATAGAAAACTCGACTGGAATGATGGGAACGCTCTAGCGACGTGCCGGAGACGGTTGCTTCCGCCTTCTCCACCCCCGAACTCCACCCTGCACGAGAATGTTCGGGAAGCCACGCGGAATTCAAGTAGCTGAAGTGAGACATTGTCTTGCTATCAGTTATGCCGCGGATTCTGTGTGCCGGGTGACGCTGCTTTGAGGCGAGAGGTGGTTATTCGCCCCGGACTGAAGGACTTATATTAGTATCTTCGTGCCTTGCAGAAGTGCTGGCACCATCTCGAGGCTATTGTCGACCCATCTCGAGTGTCGTATCTTAAATCACGTTAAAACTTCTCTCTCGCTATTTGTCACCACTCCCAATCAAGTGGGAGCACTCATGATGGGGTTTTGGAAGAGGCTCATTGAGATTCTCGTCTTCTCCTCTGAATTCAAGGGGCAAAGCAGAATAACATCTCATCTGCCCTCACTTGGACGTGTTGGACCGCTAAGCGACAGCTTCCCAAAGCCTGCCGGCTCGTGCAACACCCCCAAGAATCGTCAGTGCTGGACCACTAATGGGGAAGGTTTCGATATTACGACCGACTATGAGACCAAGACCCCCGAGGGGGAGATACGAGAGGTCCGTACTACTTCTGATGACTGTTTAGATTACACACATTGACAGCAAGCAGTTTTATTTGGTAGCCAGCAACGAAGAAATCGCCCCTGATGGATACAAAGTCCAACGTATGCTGTTCAACGGAACGTATCCCGGACCAACTCTGGAAGGCAACTGGGGCGACACGTTTAGTTAGTGTTCACAGAGGAACTCCAACCCAGACTTAATGCCATGGTATATGCTGGGCGTTCAATGAGCTATATGCTGACTTGAAAATAGGAATTACTGTCTACAACAACCTCACCAATTACAATGGAACTTCTATTCACTGGCACGGCATCAGACAGCTGAACACCAACTGGATGGATGGTGTATCGGGAGTGACCGAATGTCCTATTCCTGTAAGCAAACCTTGTATGCGCCTGGCTTTCTTCTGCTTATAAGACAAGCCTAAAGAAAAAATCACATATGAGTGGAAAGCCCAGCAGTACGGCGTGTCTTGGTATCACAGTACGTATCTCATACCTCGACCTCAGAACTCTGCTAATAGAACCAGGCCACTTCAGTCTTCAATGTTGGTCCAGATCACCCGTGCCCATAGGAATCAAATGATAACAATTGACAGATGCCGATGGGCTGGTGGGAGCCTTGAAGATCAACGGCCCGACCAGTATGAATTACGACGAGGATCTTGGTCCTGTGTTGATCACCGACAACTTCCACAAAACTGCTTTCTCTCAGGTCCAGCTTGAATACATGGGTCCGTTAGATCGTTCATTGGATATGAATGGCTGCTGATTTCTGTTTCAGGTCGCCCGCCTTCACCAGACAGCATGTTGATGAATGGCAAGGGCAAATACCATTGCTGCTCCAGGTGTCCCAGAGCCGATGAAAACTGCGTTGGCGGGTCGGAACGCGAGTCTTTCAACTTTAAAAAGGGCAAAACTTATAAGATGAGCCTTGTTAACACAGCAACATCGACGCACACTACATTTTGGATCGACAAGCACAACTTCACTGTCGTCGCTGCGGACTTTGTTCCAATCAAGCCCTACACTGCATCCATCATCAACGTTGCCATTGGACAACGCTACGACATCATCATCGAAGCCAATGCTACGGAAACTGACACGACAGAGACGGACTTTTGGATTCACGCGCGAGATTGCTCAATTGGGGGTGCTCCTTCCAACCTCGGTATCATTCGCTACGACCCCGAATCCACCTACATCCCGCATACTCCTCCAGTAGACGACAGGCACGTCTGTTACGGTTGTCTAGACGAATTGGCCAAGGATCTCGTGCCTATGGTCAAGAGGACGGTCGACGCTCCTGCCAACGCCAATTACCAGAACGAATCATTCAAGGTCCATCTCGTTGGCTATCCTGATGAGACTGCACAGAAGTCCGACCTTCACAAATGGGTGCTCAAGGATTCATCCCTTTATCTGGACTGGTCTGAGCCGAGTCTTAGCTTGGCCAAGGTTGCCTTCGACAAGGACTGGAAACGACCCAGATTCCCTCCCGGCTACGAGCCTGTGTATCTGGAACAGCCTCAAGGCAAGTGGGTTTACTGGCTCATCGAGGGTAAGTTCCAGGAGTCTCTCGACAACTCAACCAAAAAGATATACAAGACACAGGCTCCGGTGGCTCATCCTATGCATATCCATGGTCATGACTTCGTCATTCTCGCTCAAAGTGACAAAGAACTCAATGGTACCATCGACATCCCCAAAGAGAGGCTCGACAACCCCGCACGACGTGATGTGGCCCTCTTACCAGTCAACGGATACCTTCTCATCGCCTTCGAAAGTAAGTCAAATACCTGCGGCCATTCTTGTCAACATTTCTGACCTCAGATCTAGTCAACAATCCAGGAATTTGGCTCATGCATTGCCATGTAAGTTTACCAGCGCCGCCTCTGCTTAACATACGCTTATCATCACAGATCGCCTGGCATGCCAGTGGTGGACTCGCGCTCCAGTTTATCGAATCTCCAGACAAGATCGGGCCTATGTTCAAGGACTCTGGTAGGGTGCCACAGTTCTCCGAAACTTGTACAAACTGGGCCGCACACTACACCTTGTTCAACAAGAATCATGACGCCGAACAGGATGACTCTGGCATCTAAATGTGTTCTAAGAGACCAACAACCCGGAAGTTATAAAAATGGGAAGATGGGTTTTCCATGCGCCAGGCCACCCTTTCAGGGCGTTAAGATGAGATACAAAGGGGATATTTATTAGATAGTCATCAGCATTGCAGCTGCAACTCATCATTGCGAAAGAAATGCTAGGTGTTATATATGTGCCTTCTCGCCTTCGCTCAACCCGTTTGTCCCCGCCGCAATCCTTAGCAGCGTCTCTTCTGCAAGCTCAGTGGAACTTCCCAAGCCTGACAGCCGCCATTGTGCTCCTGTCTGAATCTCGAAAAACACCGCCGAGTAGACTTTGAATGCCCTTACTGGCTTACCACTCGTAAAAATTCTCCCGAACAGTTTCCATCCCGATGGAACGGCGCCAAGCGGCTCCAGGAGGCCATCAATGTAAGGGTTGTAATCGACCGTCATTGTATGCCTCTCAGACCTGACGAAATGCTTCCTCTGGAAAGCACGGAAAGCGCGAACATCCTTCATCATACCTTCCTCATCTGGCAAGTGTACTTTTCCGCCCAGAACAGCGGCAATGTACCGGGCCTGTGCCTCTATAATCGGCTGCGCGGGTCCAGCCACCTCGACTTGCCCCATCACGAAGAGGTTCCTTGACCTTGGCGGGACGATGCGCTTGTAAAGGTCAACTTCTGGAGCTGGCTCCTCTTTGCTCTCGAGGACACCTGGTGCGAGGTATGGATGGTGAGCTATGCTGTAGCCAGTACAAAGAATAACAACATCAGCGTCAAGGGCGGTGCCGTCGTCAAGCAGCAGGCCAGTCTCTGTAAAGGAGGTTACATCGGACCGATGCAGATTGAAGACTCCAGTATTCAGCTTTTCGGTGAAGTCGCTTCGTACTGTTGGGTTCTGCTCCATGATGTGATGGTCCGGTTGGAGGATCTCGGGTTGTTTGCCCAGCGCATGGGTGATGATCTTGTTGTAGGCGAATGCCTGAACGCTGAAGGGTAGCCATGTTGCGCTTGAACGACCTGTAAAGAATTGTTAGTAAACGTTGCTAGAGAGCGTCTGTTTGGATCCAAAGACTGACTGTTCCATGCCTCAACCGGCTTTCCCAGGAGGAATCGGGGCAACACCCATGCGCCACGCTTGTTCACCACGTTGAGCTCCTTGGCAAGGGGTCCAATCTCGCACGCAACGTCAACGGCCGTCGATCCGAGCCCAATAATCACGACCTTCTTCCCTTCAAATCGAGTTGGCGACCGGTAGTAGTGGCTATGCAATACCTCTCCCTTGAATGTGTCCCTGCCCTTGAAGTCGGGAATCCTGGGGTTGCTGCTGAGCCCACTCCCACAGATGAGAACATCGAAAGTCAGAACTTCTTCCTTGCTGTCCTCGGCCCTGGCATCGCGGAATCGAACCTCCCACCCGCCCTCCTTAGTCGGCGCACATCCAATCACCCTCGTGTGGAACCGAACGTGCTTCTCCAAGTCAAAATGCGCCGCGTACTCGTTCATATACTGCAGATGCTTCTCATGAGAATAGTAAATTGGATACCGCGCCGGGTCGATCGGAAAATCACTGAAACCAGTCGAATCGCGACACGAGTTGAGAATGACGCCATTGTAAATCGATGAGTGAGCGTCGGGACCGGGGTTCGGGTCGTGAAGCCACTGTCCGCCGATGGCGTGTGCGCGCTCGAAGCACTGCACCGAGAATCCCGCCGCGAGACACTCCTTGATGGCGACGAGACCGCTGGGGCCTAAAATGACCGAGTCAGGACTCATCATCAGGTGATGGATATAAGAAGCTTACCTGCGCCGACAATCGCGATGTGCTTACTCTGTGACGACATATTTGTTGCGAGCAGAGGGCAGCAGGATCACAGGAACAAAAATGAGAAAATTCCGACGAAAGGATCCTTTGAGTTTTATAGAGAAGAACCCAGCCAGAAAACCCGCCGAACTTGGACTTCCAGCAAGTACGCCTCCCTTGACCAAAGTTCCTCCTTTTTGCACCGAAGCTCGAAGTACCGTTCTTGGAAATGGTGCCTGCTGGATGGGGTTGTTTAAGTGCTGACGGGCGCCACCACGTCCAATCCCAACCCCTGTACTTCGTGGGAAATGGGCGGCGCCCACTATCCGCGGGAATGAGGTGGTCAGCAAAAGGAGAGCAAGCTTTCCGAGAAGAAGAATCCTTTGACAACGATGCGTCGTACGATTGGAGGTTTGCAATTGTCTGGTTTGTCAGATCGGTCTTCCAAGTCCTTTTCGGCATGTATTTTCCGTGGCAGGATGCATCGAGTAGGTGCTCTGGTTGATCAATGGACGCCCACTGAGGTGACGAAGCATGTAAGATCGGCATGAGTGATTACAGACTTGATAGAAAATACCGGGATGTTTTGACGAGTAATCTGTCTGCCGTAGGAGGGCATGGTTACTTTCGGAGCTCGACGGAAGGTGAAGGCCGGACGCGGTCCCACTCTCGGGCCGGCGAAACGGAGCAGGGTCGGCGGCGACCGGAAATCTTCTACGGAAGCAAGTTCATCATTTGAGGTGCTGTTTGGGGCCGCTGAACCAACATAAAACCTGTGAAAATAGCACGTTGAGCGAATCTCACCTACCATATTCTATAAGACTTCGCGAATCAACAGGATATTTCAGATACAAGGTCAAGGCCTAGATTCAACCCATTCGTTCACTGACGCAGCTCACCATCATCTCAGGCCAAAGCCAGACGAGATCAAGCAAGAGACCAATCTAAGAGCTCCTTGCTCATGACCTCAGACTCAACCAGCGGAACTGGTTTAGTCATGACCGTCGTAACCGAGCCTCCCCGGATCCCCGGAACTTCTTCGCCCGTCTACATTGGCCACATGCAGCCAGCGCCTCAGACGGCCGCCGATCCCCGTGCTTCGCAGGAAGTCCCCCCGGTCGGCTACCAGCTCCCGGGCATTTGCCCCGCCGCGCCTCCGAAGAACATCACCGGAATGTCCAGGACCGAAGCTCACGTGTGCCCATGCGATCGTTGATGGAAAATCACGCTAGCATATATCCCGAAGCAAGTGTCCAAGCTAGCACGAACCATTTCGCCCCTTACCTTCTTCAAGGCCCAGCCCGTCCATCAACCGTCAAAGCCACTGCCAGTTAGTACCGCACTCGACATACTACCTAGGGAAGACCGCCTCTGAAATCTCCCAAATACGGATTTTTCTTCACCAAAACAGCCCTCCAGTAAAAGTCGCCATTAAAGTCGCGAATGTCATGACGGGCGCTCATCTACTCCTCCAACCAAACAAAGGCCACAAAAACACACACACGCGCCTGAGTCAACCAATCTGATCAAAACATCTGACATCACCATTCCTTTTTCCAAGAGGCGAAGCCAAGGCTTACATGTATACACACACATCGCAGATTATGTAGATGCAAAATACTCGCATAGCACACGCGGAGCTAACGCAGCTTATCTACACCTCAATTTGCCGTTCCTGCCGCCACTGTCTCAGACAGCCCACACCCCGCACTTTCTTTTCCCTGCCGTTTTCCTCCCACTCAATGGATGTCTCTGACCCTCATTTCCAGCTCGACTTGGCTTTCTGTGTGAACGACAACACTAACTTCCGTTTTTTGCCTCCGCGCTGTCAACCAGGCTAAGAGATAAGGTCGAACAGACTTAAAGAAAAGAACAGCCGTTTCTTATGCACCCAAATTCGTTTTGTTTGGCCTCCTAATTTTAGACGAACCAACGCATTAGAGATAAGACCCGGAAAGCCGAGACAAGACTAATCTAGGGCCCCCTTCATCGCTTGGGAAGGCCGCCGCCCGGCTACGGCTAGGGCAGTGCCGAGGAGAAAGAAGGAAACTTCGTATTGTACGGATACCCGGCGTTGCGCAGCGCATTGCAGCGCGAGGCGGCATGGAAAGCTCAAGTATGGAGCTTTCGTTCCGTGTGGACTCTTCACCCAAGACACATGCAGAGTTAGGAGAGAAGGAAAGCGCTGAGGCGATGCCGGACTGATGATGCGCACGACGCGCTGCGGTGTGTCTGTTGGATGACATTTGCCCCTCGTTCATTTCTGCGACCCTTCACTTTTCGCAGCTAGAAGTAAGGAGTGTGCGGCGGATAGCGTGCCGCGTCGTACGAATGGTTCTTGGTTCAGATGGATGGGCACAGCCGCCTGGTGACACCGCAGCGAGTAGGACATTGCGAAACTTGACGGAGTGAGCCCCATGAATGAGCCCCGAGGCGTGGAGCAGCGAAAAGTCAGGATAATGACTACCGTGGAGCCTGACCGTGTCGGGGAATAATTAACCTGAAGAATGATGAATGCAAGGTGTACATATAGTTAAAATGATCTCATGCAGCGCCAAGATGATAGACAGACGCTGATTCACATTAATCACAGCAAAGTCGGTGAGGACGATTGTGAGAAACCAGTAAAATGTGTGTAAATGACCATTATCGATTGAATGATTACTGCATCTTTTGAGAATATATGACAGCCAGGAAAATATGGAAGAGTTTTATCCAAACAGAGGGCCCTCGCAAATAAACAGGAATGAGAGACGTGCGTGGAGGGGTTGTCATCAATACAATCGCACGCACAATGCCGCCCGCGCCGGTACCTTCGTCTAACACCTTGCGTGTAACATTACAACACCTTGCTTTGTGCGCCGTGAAACGTCTTTTTTGTGCATTTATGGTTGGTTGACTTTTTTGACTTGCTTTTTTAAGAGTAGTTGACGTACTCCTGAGGAGTGACGGGCCAGGCGTCAATGCCATCCTGGATGATGGCGCTCATGCCACCAGAGATGTGGTTCTGGATGTGGCAGTGGAGAAGCCACGCGCCCGGGTTGTCTACCTGGTAACGGACAGCCATCCATGTCGATGTGTTGACGGCGTTGGGAGTGGCGAAGCCGTCTCTGCGAGGAGGGTCGACGAAGTTCCATGCTGAGGGCTGGGCGGCAGCAGCCTCCTCGATGGTGTTCCAGGTGAAGTTGCCGCTGCCAGAGGCAAGAAGG